TATCAGAATTAATAAATAATTAAATTGAATAATGTCATACTTTTCAATAATAAATTTCAATTCTTTATATAATACATCATCCATAATTTCTTTGACTTTAAAAAGCTACAAAAATAAATAATACAATGTCATGTATCAATATGAGATATTTAAAATTTCATGTAATTTATTTTATTTTATGAAAGAAATAACCATAACCTAAAAAATAGAGATATTTTATTTTGCATGAAAGTTGTCAATATAATAGGTATTACTCAATCTTGCATTTTCAAGTGTCTTAATATTGAGAAAAATATGAGTTAGAATTGATTTAAATGAAGAAATGTTAAAATTATATTTTTATATATATTAAATTGACACATAAAAAATATTTTCACAACCATATTATTATATTACCTTTCTAATTTTTTAGATAACAATTATTTTTTCACCATTTTCCAAATTTTAGTTAATACAACAGAGTTAAACACTACAAAATAAATATGTGATATTAAAAACATAACTTTTGAAACTAACATAATTTCATGGAAAAAAATGATTAAAGTTGAGAAACATATTTAATTTAGTAAACTCAATTTTATTGAAAAAAATAGAATAAATTTAAGATACACATTTAAGTTCAATCAAACATAGTGATATATTATTTGGGTAACATAAATCAAATTTTATGTTTCATGGTTGAATTGTAACATTTTTTAATATATAATATCTACTAAAATTATATTAGATATTTATAAATATATTTAAAATTTTAAATATATTAAAATAATAAGTTTTCAAATAAAATTTTAAAATATTAAATCTATAACTTAGAAAATAAAAATCAAAATAAGAAACAAACATATTTTAAATATGGACATTTTAAAAATTGATTAAACATAAAATGAAAGAAAAATACATTTAAATTTACTATTGACTAAACTTGAAATGAATTCAATGCAAAGGATGTTCTTCAAATATAGTTAAATTTATTTATGTCTTTGTAAATTTTAAAACTTTTAAAAGTAATTTTTACTATTACTTTTAGATCGAATAACTTGTAGACATGTTACATGTCATTTTTGTGTAACTAATAACATTGATGCGATGTATCATTGAGAAAAGAAAAATAAAATTACACTCCTTTTATTCTAATTTTTAGCATATCTAATTGTAGATGATGTAAAAAAAAACAGAACATACTTTTTGTTTGATGGGCTTGTGAGTCTTAAGTCATTTCTTCATCCTCATGTAAGTCATGATCATCAAGGGTTTACTAATCATCATAACCACAGTCATGCTTCTTAATGGTGTCCTTATCGGGGTCAGAGTATTATTCTTCTACACCATGTGTCACTATATCCAACATTAAAGAAGATGATTTAAAATATAATACAACTTGCTTGCAAATGTGATTCATACCAGGATAGAGTGAGGATGAGTTTGGAATAAAGCGAAAGTTGAGAATTGATTGGGATGAGAAAAATGTAGAGAGGGAGAATGGAAAAAAATTGTACAAAGGAGGTAGAAAAAATTTCTAAGAGCTAGAAGATAAAAATGAATAAAATTATAGATATATTGTGTAGTTATTATTTTAAAAGACCCAATTAAATAACCTCCGTTAAATACAATAATTTTTGTAGATATATATCAATGGAGGTAATTCCGTACTTAAAAACATTTATAGAATATAACATTAGCCATACTAATCTAATTAATGCTATCTTGATTACTTCAACTAAAACTTGATAAGAAACCATAAAGAGAAAGTTGCTTATTATATTCACCTTGTGAATATTTCTCCTTGTGGATATTCACTTCATAGAAAGTGCTGAATAGTTCTTCACCTTGTGTTCCAGCGATATCCCCAACACTGCTTTGAACAAGTCAATACTGATTAATGATGAGAGAATCTATAGTCCATTAATTTTTAGTGAACAGTCCTTAATTAGATTATTGGTTGCTCGCAGATGGATACGAGGCTGTAAAGTACAAAAGAGCGATGAAAATGAAGCACATATGCCCTGTTAATATTAAAAAAGAAAAGCGAAGAAAGGTTCATACGTACGACAAGAAACAGAAAGTAACATGTATATAGATAATTAAGGATGAAATGGTGGTTACAAAGAAAGAATAATAGATGTAGGGTGATATATTAATTAGTCTATTATTCTAATACAAGGAACTAGGTGTTCCAGTTGATGAAGAGAGAAGTAGAACCCTACTCTTAACAATGAAGTCGGAACTGAAATTAGTAGAATTGTAGAACATATATAGTACGTTTGCTATGTTAAAGTACAACTCAGAACTTACAATGTTATGATTATATATCCTGAGCATAAAAGTCAATAATCTCGTTCAAATTAAGGTTGAAGAAAGAAGAACAATCATTGTGCATGAGCCACAACATGTGCTCGAACAAAATGGCATCCACGTCGACAAAGACCACTCTACGTCGTTGATCCTTCTTCCTCATGGACGTGTCCATCAAAACTCGAAAAGGGTTTTCTTCTAATACGAAAGGATCCACGAGGAACACCCTCTTCTCTTTTCCCACCACCACGGTCACAGGGCTGTCAGATTCTTTGTCATTGGTTAGGGGCCGGTACCCCATCGAGCGTCTTCGGATCAATGATAACGGCAACACCAAGCAATTCATAGAAAGATTATTAGATATGAATTATAAAGTGTTGGAGTAGGAAGAGATTCAAGATCAATATATGTCTCTGGGATTTGGGAAGGTGTGAATTGTACAAAGGAGGTAGAAAAAATTTCTAAGAGCTAGAAGATAAAAATGAATAAAATTATAGATATATTGTGTAGTTATTATTTTAAAAGAAAGTAATCATCAATAAGGGTAAAATCTTAAGTTATAGAAGTTATAGATAGAAGTTATAAGAGAATACTAACCTGGAAACTATGAATGGGAAAGCATAAGATCAAAGGTACTAATGCTCAGCTGAAATCACGTGGCCCAAGAACTTCACCTCATCCAACCAAAACTCACATTTTGAAAGCTTAGCATACAGCTGCTTCGCTTTCAAAATCTCCAACACTGTCCTCAAGTGCTCTTCATGCTCTTTTCGGGTCCTTGAATAAATCAAAATGTCATCAATAAACACTACAACAAACTTATCCAAGAACGGCCGGAAGATCCTGTTCATGTAGTCCATGAACACTGTGGGGGCGTTGGTCACACCGAACGGCATCACAACATATTCATAGTGACCATACCTAGTCCTGAAAGCAGTCTTCGGTATGTCACCCTCTTTCACCCTAATCTGGTGATATCCTGACCTCAAGTCAATCTTAGAAAACACCGACGCACCCCTCAATTGATCCATTAAGTCATCTATCCGGGGAAGTGGATATTTGTTCTTAATTGTTAACTTGTTCAGCTACCGGTAATCAACACACAGTCGACTACCTCCATCCTTCTTCCTTACTAATAACACCGGAGCACCCCACGGCGAAACACTCGACCGCACCAACTGCTTTTCCAACAAGTCCTCCAACTGACCCTTCAGCTCAACCAGCTCAGCAGGAGCCATCCTATAGGGAGCCACTGACACTGGTCCCGCACCTGGAACCAAGTCAATGCTGAACTCCATCTCCCTAACAGGAGGCAACCCAGTCACCTCATCCGGGAACACCTCGGTATACTCCCTCACCATATCGATATCAGCTAAGACACTCTCGGTCTCCACACTCATTGCAGTAAGCAGAAGACAGCACTCTGCTCCATCTCTCAACAATGACTCAGCCTGGCCAGCTGAGATCAACAGCTTATCCTCCTCCTGAGGAAAGATCAACCGCCTATTGGCACAATCTATTAGAATGCGATTGGCAGATAACCAATCCATTCCCAAGATTATGTCAATATCCACCAAAGGTAAACAAATTAGGTTCACCTTGTACTTCTTCTCATTCACCACAACCGGGCAACCCACACACAATTCAGAAGCAATCACAGAAGCAGAAGCGGGCGTCGACACAAGCAGTCTCAACCCCAAATCACACACAGGCACACCCAACATAGCAGCACATGCATAAGATATAAAGGAATGCGTAGCACCATAGTCAAAGAGAGTCATCACATCCTTACCAGCAGCTTTGCCCTTCCCCTTCATAAGATCAGAAGAAGTCGAAGTCTCAGCACCTGTCAAGGCAAATACCCTACCAGCAGTAGTGGGTCTGTCACCCCTCTAAGTATCAGCTCTCTGTGCGCTACTCCTCTGAGTATCAGCCCTCTGTACATCACCCCTCGGAGTACTCCTCTCTAGTCTGCTTCTAGCAGGGCAGTTGGCTGACTCGTGGCCCATCTGATGACATCTGAAGCAACGACTCTCTGTGTGCGGACAGTCCCTGACAAAGTGGGGCCCAACACACCTGAAACATCTCAGAGTGGCACCTCCACTCTGTCTACCTCCACTAGCAGTAGTAAAAGATTGCCTACTGACAGGACCCCCTTGCTGTGATTGGGGCCTATCATACGGCTTCCTCTGACTCTCGCCCTTCTTGGACCCAGATGGCCCCCTAGCAGTCCTCACAACCCGGTTGCCACCCTCCAACCGCTCCACCACTTTTGCCTTCTCCACTAAGGCTGGAAACTTAGTGATGGCCATAGGCACCACCACCCTCTTCAGCTCATATCTCAAGCCATCAGCAAACTTCCTGCATTTCCAGGCCTCAGCTATATCGTGCTAATAAAAACGAGCCAGGTGCTCGAATTTCATCGCATACTCAGAAACTGTCATCCCTCCCTGGTGTAACCTCATAAACTCAGCCTCCTTAACGTGCCTCACGGTCTCTATATATATATATATATATATATGAAAGCGGTGGTTGCTACTAGGTAGGGCTCATAATGGAAATTGTTCAATCGTTGAACTAGCACTATATACTCACTATAGAGAGATTTTTATTTTGATTTTACCATCACTAAATGTTGTTTTATTATTAAAATATTTTGATTAGGATAACAATTTGTTAATAAATCAGAATAGATTAAAATTAATTTGTTTCCTCTAAAACCTAATGATGATGCGACCAAATAGTGTCACTATAGTTTATGCGCTGGAGTACAAGGGAAGCGCGTGGTTGAGGTGTGATTTTCAGCAGTGGCGCGTGGAGTATTTTATTAATTGTAAAACGTCACGGTCTGGTCTTGTCTCACAGCAAAGAAGTGGTTGAGGTGTGATTTTCGGGCAGTGGCGCGTGGTTAAACCATTCTTTGGGCGACTTAGTCCATACGCTCCACTGCAACACGCAAGTTACAACGTCTCATGCACAACACACCATGCTGTTAAATAATGGGACATATTTGGTGTAAGCAAGCCACTTCATAAATGACATCTGACAACGAAATTCACCTTTCGAAATTCGAAACCTTACAAAAATACAAAAGAACGCTCCACGATGGGTTAGTGGGTTACATTGTCGGGGACTCGGGGCAGAAATTTTGTTCGATATTGACACCATTGATTTTGTTAGAAACCTCCCTTAAAACGAGACGGAAAACTTTTAACGAATTTTCTCTGAAAAAATATGCACCAATTAAAAGCATTAAATAAAAAAATCTACTGTGTATTGTTACATTTATTGTGTTTAAAGTATAAAAGCATTTAATCCGGTAACTATTTGAATAATTGATTAGGATGACAGAATTATTCATCTTTTAAAAGTACAGATGTGTAAGTATGGAGGTCAAGAGGTTTAGTGGGGCCAGAGGAGAATTCATGATCAACATAAGGGTTTACATCAAACTGGTTATCTAAATTGTTGATTAAAAAGGTAGATGAGATGTTAACTTCTTTTTCGCAAGACCCCAGGTGAGAAGGTATAATAGGATCCAAGTAGGCATGACAATCTAACCCGTCCCCGTGGGTACTCGCTCGAACCCACCCCGATTTGAATGGAGAAAACCCGTGTTTATCGGGTTCGGTGCGGGTTCGGATTTTCCTTGATTGATAAAATCAGGGGCGGGGACGGGGATGTTAATACTTACTCCGCCCCGCCCCCGCCCCCGCCCCCGCTTAATAATATAATTAAAAAATTATTTATATATATATATAAACCAAAATTAGAAATATTTATATATAAAAATTTATATTATTTTTCTTTTCTTTTATTTTTTTTAATTGTTCATATTTATTTAAAAGAATAAAGAAAAAAAAAGAAAAAAAAATAGGAGCGAGAGCGGGGGCGGGGCGGGGAAACCCGAACCTCGCCGGGGACGGGGATGGGAACCTAGATTTTACCCCCGGCAGGTATCGGGGGCGGGAGTGGGGGCAGTTTAATGTCATTGAAATATTAAAAATAAAAATTTAATGTTAATTTTTGAACTTGTATTTAACGTTAATTTTGTTAAAATAATAATAAAAATGTAAGATAATCAATGACTTAAAATACATCAATATCAAAAATAAGTTAAAGTCTCATCACAAAGCTACAATAATTCAATCTCATAATTCCAAACGAAAGTAAACAACTTAAAATACATAAATTTTATTAGTCCAATCAAGGCTAGAAAATTAATCAAATTATATCCAATACAATTCTATAACATGCTTAACACATGTTAGTAACTTCATCAACCTCACTTTTGTTAGAAAATAAGACGAGAGTATAGTCTTAAGGTTATGTGGTATAAAGATAATTATGATATTTAAGAAATATTATTAAACGAGTACCCGCGAGTATGGATATCGTCATACCCGCCCCGCCTCATTTATAAACGGGTAAAAAATTATCCGTCTTCATTATCTGCAAGTACCTAATTAGCTTATCCATTTATTATACATAGCGAATTTTACCCGCAAATACCCGCGGGTGCGGGTATTTTTGTCATCCCTAAAAGTGACCACAGTAGCAGAGATGGGGTCTCTGGAAGGAAGGGAGATTTTTTCATGGGACTAGAGGTGTTGAAAATCTCTTTTTGAATGAGACTTAGTTTTGGTCAGCCTAGGAGGGGTGAACTGGGCAAGAAACTCTAAAGGGAGGAAATGGGATATAATGTATTTGGAAGCAATTCGCAGGCTACTATCATTATTTCTTGCTGTGTATCTCTAATTTTGGCAGTGACAGGAGTTTAATCTACTAATGCTTCTGGTGTTTTAAGCAGTAGGAGGGGAATGCAAATTTTGTTTCTTATTGGTCAAATGGGTTGTATGCCAACTATTTGTACTTTTTACTTGTTCCCTGGACACTTGTGCTTGAAAGTTGTTCCAATAAAAAATCGCGTTTTGCCTTGTTAAAAAAATGACGCAGAAGCTAGTATGATTTGCTTCTGTATTGGCGGCAACAGGGGTTACTAAACATGCATTCAGAATTAAATAAACAATAAAGCACGATGCATGGAGAGCTAAAATTCTGATTCTGCTAATGCTGCAACTGCGGAATGCATACAGCAAACTTTAAAATGACAGACTTCGGATAATGGGCTGCATATCCTTGGCTATCATCACTAGAAATGTTACGATTATAGAATTAAAATAAGAAAAATAAATCCTAGTTAACTGAAAAGCTTAACCTTAAGATAGACTGTTCTATAGTCAGTCTCAAAAATGCAGTTAGCATTTTAGAATTGGCCTCTAGCCACTACTTTGAACAGGCATCATGCAAAATACCCTGCTTCTGCACTGTTAATCTGAAGTCACATCTTCACTGATGAGTTTGGCCAGCCCATAGAGGATGATGGTACATTGGCATATTATGAATGGGCTGACTCGCATTATTGAAGAGTCCAGGTCCAGGAGGGGCTCTACAAAAAGGAGCCTGATCATGTTCTTCAGAGGACTCAGTTGAAGGCCCTTGAGAGGTAGGACTAGTTGGGGTCGTAGGTGCACCAAAGTTTAGCATATGGGGTGGTGGTGCAGAAGAAGACCCAGATTTCAGGACATTCGAGCTCGATTTTTTCCCATCCACGATAAAGCTACCCACAATGACCTGTCAATGATTGAAGAAAGTCCCATAAATAAAGCACTAAAATTTCGTCAGCAAGAAATTATATATATAAAGACAACCAACAATGAACATAAATTTTATACTTGAAAGCAATACCTGTACAGTTGATGCTGCAGTTAGCATTCCGGCAACTCCGCCACCCAAAACACGTCCATCAGACCCTGCCAGGGTTACATTCAAAGTGCCTGTTCTGCTACGTTCACCATTACTTTCAGATAGCTGCAAAGAACCTGATAAAGATATAATCTCAAATCGGCCCTGCAAAGTAAATTGACATCATGTTAAGAGAATTGAACCTACAGACAATAATATTAAATTATACACTCGTTCACAAGGATCAAGTGAGAACACTGCCACTTCACTAATGTATAAAATTAAACATAAAGCAGGACACGGCTCCTTTGCAGAAGAAACCTGTCAAACATATTATCTAGTGACCTTTTAAATGCTTTAGTTAAACAACCAACTATAACATGCCAGTTTCAGAAAGGGTGTGAAAAGATGATACACAAACCATGGTAATTAAGGCAAAGTAAAAGTATAGCATAAAATCTGAACATTTACATGAAAGGAACTTTTAACCTAGGCTCAAGGGTAAACCTGAATGTGAATCAAATTGTTATTAAGTCACTTCCTCACTCCTCAGTGGTCCAAATTCCAACGTAACTATATCACAACAATTTTCTTTAGATGGTTGCTTTGGTTTATTACCAATCAAGGGTGCTCTAGGTGATAAAAACAAGAGATATAACAACGATTAATAATTGGGATATTTGACATCCAAAACTTATCACCAGGTGGTCCTTAAGTTGTTTTTGTATTCCTGATCAATCACGTTGAACGTGAATCCAATGATAGATAGAGGATTCACGTTCATGTGAGATGAATATGAGACTGGTAGGAAATGGAGATAGAGAGGCTATAAAGTGTAAGACACAAACTTCAAATGCAAAAGAAAATAAGAACCTCCATTTCTGCAAGATCTTTGCCCTAAAGGGCCAAATTACCTCGACAGTATCCCTATTGCGCTATGGCATGCTCATCATAAGATTCAGTTCCATCCACACAATAGAAACAGAACTTCCAAAGCACCTTTTTCTAGAGATCAAATTAGGCTTTGAAATAATATTTTTTTAAATAAAGGCAACCATTTAATAATGTACATTTGTAAATTGTACATACCTAATAAAGCAGGTATCCCAGGCTAAAACCTTTAGTATGTACTACAGTACATATCTAGTTGGACAAAGTTGATCTAACACTCTACTTTCAACATCAGAAAGGTTAAGAACCCCTAAAATTACCTCACAGCGCAACAGCACTAAAATTAGTCCCGGAAAAAAATATAAATACATTTAAAGAAATGACAAGAGTACAAGACAATAATCACGCAAGACTTCCTTTTTAAAAAGGATAGGTTACAAGTGCAACCTAAAGCAATAACCCCATGCAGCAGATGTTTATTCGACAATTTTCAAAATAAAATGAGTTTACCCCTGTATATCCTCACATTTGAAGAAGAATGGTAAGAATTTAAGCAATAAACCCTAGTATGTAAATTCAGTTGGTCTTGTCGGTCAACAACAATTCTTAAAGTGGATTTACTTAAAAGATTACATTTATCAATTTGACATTGATTGTCCAATATCTCTATTAGAACATCAAAAATACTTGCTGAAAAAATTGTTAATAATAATAATAATAATAATAAAAGCATACAAGAAAATAGATTAAATCAAATGCATATGAAATAAATAAACTATTTCTAGAATGCATCTCAGAAAGTACACAGTTTTCCGGATTCAATAGCATAAGAAACAAAGGGAAAAAATCACAGCCCTCCAAATAATTGAATAAGTGATAGTGTAATATTTCACTTCCTAAAGCGTAGTTATGCTTGTAGTTGAAAGTAAGGAAAACTGCTATTGCATGCCAGAAAATAATAATGCATTCAGTTTCATGTTCTCATTTATATGCATATTATTTCCAGATCATTTCCAATATAGTATAAGCAAAACTTAGTATAATGAATAACTAAACTAGACTCTAAATGGATATAAAAAGTACCTCAAATGTAGCAATACCACCAGACAATGCAGGCTGTCGAAGGGTGACATTACAGATTGCACCAATAGCAGAAAGAATACAAACTGTGCGAGGCCCTTGCTGAGAAAAAGCCATAATTTTTGCTGTGATGTCCTACAAATAACAGAAGCATACTAGTGAGAAGGATTTGTAACAATAGTAACCCACACAAACCCTGCCAATAGAAACTTCAAAAAAATTGTTCAGAACCTCAAAAAATAAGTAAATATAAAATAACACGCACCAAATATGATGGTTCTATGATAAAATAGTGACTCACTAAAGAAACCCAATTTCGCTTCAGTTCAAAATGTAAACTTACATGATAAGGTTGACAATAAAGAAAAGGGTAGGTTAATGCTATAATTACCACTTTCCTTTTTGATCGGGACAAAATATACAATGTACAATCATATACAAATGCAATCCATAAATGATGCAACCACAAACTACACAAATAAATACACCTCATAAATTCTCGAATTAATTAAATGAGATACCCAAAATTCATTCACACTCCATAGCAACAATTATAAAAGAATTTGATGAACTTAAATCCAACAGCATTAAACAAGCAATTGATATCAACATCCCATGCAATAAAGGCAAGCTTTTAGCCACAGAAAATTAAAACAAACAACATTAAAAAAACAAAAATTTTAAAATTACATTCCTTCCCTAGATGAAGGTCTGATGTAACACTAAATTAGAGGATTATCCGTATGCAGCAAGACTAGCTCCACAATGCTGTTTCATCCCAAGAAAGGTTAAGAACCCCTGAAACTACCTCACAGGGCAAGTGGGCAACACCAAAATCATTCCCCTAAAACAATAATCACTGCAAGTCTGTCTCTCAAAACAGATAGGCCACTATCAAAAGCAATTACCCCACGTCACATTTCAAAACTTTATGCTCTTATTAATAACAGAGCATTCACATTTACATAACCAAAACAACGCAATTTAGAAGTCCAAAATTTTAAAACTTTAGAAAACTGGGCTCTATATCCCTTACCAAAAAAAAAACACAATGAAACAGTACTACCATATAGTTATAAGATTAATTTCTACATACCATCAGTATAAAAAAAAATAAAAAATAAAAATAAAAACAGTCGACCGATCAAAAATATCGTTAATATGACTTTTAATGTAGTTATTATAAAAGATCCTAAACTTCCCACACATGTTTATTTATGATTAAATGATAGTAAAAAAATAAAGGTGTCAAAAAGACTATTTTCTCTCAAACTATTCATTTGGGGTACGAGAAAAGTTCAAGTTAAGTGAAGAGTGAAAACTCTCCCCGTCCCAACCAAGACCGCAAGCCATCAACATCCAAGTCCAACAAGGCCAAGCCACAAAAATCAGCAACAAACAAATGCAAGAGCCACATAATACAAACAAGCAAATGAGTACACTGCATTATTTTACAGGCAAAGACTAGTTACGCAGCAATTAGCATTACCTCGCCAGACTCCACAATGATCACGTGGGGAGTGAATCCAACCCCACCAGCTCCTTCACAAAGAAAACACAAGAAACAAATCATCACAACCAGTTCCATTCAAACAAAAAAAAAAAAAAAAGTTCCATTCAAACAAAAACCAACACAAACACAACACAACAACAACTACCAAGCGCATCCATCTGTTTCTTCCCAGACCCGGGAGGCCTTCCGCGGTGCTTCTTCGCCGGACCGTCAGCGGAGGCCGTGCCAGCAGAGTCGCCGCCGCCGGAGGCGGCGGCCCCAGCGGCGGAGGGAGGAGGAGAGACATGGGTGGGAGCGAGGCCGAGGGCAATGTTACCGTCCGGCGAGTACTTCCGGGGACGGCCGCGCTTCTTCTTGGCGAGGGTGGAGCAGGCCTTCATCGGGGAAGGGGGGCCGTCGTATGCGGCGGCGGGGAAGGGCTCGGAGGCGGGCGGCACGGCGGCGAAGGGAAATCGCGCGGTGGTGGGAGCCATGATGGCGGCGGAGGAGGAATTGGGGCCGATGTTGGCGGAGGCGTAGGAGGTGGGGCCC